CAGGTAACGCACCAATCGAAAACCTATTGCATACTCAAAAACTGCGCAAAATGAAAGTGAACAGGGATGGATAGGACATACAGTAAGCTGAGGAGACCGATGAGTTACTCCATCACGCGCCACAGTAGATACACTCTTGATTGTGACTCGAAGTGGAGAAAATGAAGGCTTAAGGGCGCAGTGATCATGGCACCAGGTAGCTGATAGAGTGATACCAAAGAAATAAAAGCCGTGTGTACCACACTTGTAACGCAAAACAGATTGAAAACAGAAAGTCATTCAGAAAACTGATATGAATGGTGAGATCGATTTTTGATTGTTCATGTGTGTGGAACAAGTATACCGAAAGAAATTCAGACGGATTGGACATACTTGAAGGAGACAGTTGAGCAGCATGAATGGCCACAAGGCCTTCGAGTGGAATCTGAATAGGTAGCAACAAGTCAAGCGTCTGTCCGTTGGTGATAGTGAGGAGGAGATGAGAGCTTATGAGAAGCTGTGGGGCCTGCCAAGGAAAAAGGATTGCAGAGAACAGGATGAAATAGAGATATTTTCGGGCTGAAGCCTTGTATTCCATTCAGAAGGCAACGAAACAATGAATAAATAGAATGTAGCAAAACGCATTTACGTATCATCAAATTCAAAGTGAGTGAGTGGCTGAATGGCCAAACAGGAGTGTATTATAACCTGAAGCTCCTGGATGGTTCGATCCTCATCGGTAGGGCCATGCTTTCTTTTTACTCCATTAGGTGGATTTATTTACGTTTATTCAACGTCTTAACACCTTAATCACATGTGAATTTCAGGACTTTATGGTTATGCGGTGATTTTTTTGAGCATTAATTGATCTACTGTGACAGAAACCAGTCACCAGTCCATTAATTCTGTCTTTTTGTGAATCATTTTTCAGGAGGGCATCGGTAGTTCAGAGGGGTGAAATGCACGTCAATAACCACGTATCTGGTCATTGTTTCGACTCCTGGCCGCCAACGCATTTCCACAAACCTCACTTAGACAAAAAGCGGGAAGGTTGGGTGGGTGTGAGTTTAGCAAGCCCCCCCCCCACACACACACACACTTGGAAGACAGAAAAAGAGTGACAATAGAAAGTCAACCAAGAAAGCCATAGGAATGATGAAATTGATCTTTGTTTGTAGGGATGTGTATGCATGTGATTGCTTGTTGAGACAGGAATGCACACATAAGCACAGCTACACAAACTGTCATTTATTAGGTGCATTTCTATTCACATCTACTACTAATTGTCAATCGAATGTCAATCTGCATAAGAGTAGAAATTCACAATTACTGTCCACCTTTTCTAAGAAAAACTTAACTTGAGATTATTTTTCACTACATTTTTCTATATCGAAACGAATCATATGGTTAACTGAGTCGAAACTATCGATTTCAACAATAATTAGGAGTGATAATTAACAGTGGATCTTTTTTGTTGTGAGTGTAAGGATTTTATTTTTCTGCGGAGATTTAGATCTGTTTCCACAGTTAGATTTCGTCATGCAAAAAACAGACAACAACATTAGTTTGCCAGTGGATTCGGGCGGGGGGAGGGGATAATTAAATACAAAAACCTAGGAAGTACACTGAACGACTGTTCCGTCCCTCTAGTTTGCAGCTCTCCAGTCATAAACTTTCGTGAGCCACCTAGGGATCGATAATGTTATATCCTAAAGTGACACTCTCCTTAGGACTTCAAAACTAAAGGCTTAAAGCTGTGTGCTGCGAAATGAGGTGGAGGAGACTCGTCACTTTGACTCATAGCGTGTACTTCTGGCAAGACTCATCAGTAGTATACATTGAGACGTTTATAGGCACAAAAATATCAAAATGTGACAGTAGAAGGCAAGAGAATTGGTAATGGAATGTCAGTTTGTAATTTGATAACTCTAAATTATGCCCTAAGTGAAAATAGTCATTTACACAGATCTTCTGCGTTTCTTTATCTTCTTTTTGTGTCTCCCATGTTCTGCCACAACACTGATTTATTTCTTCACTCTGAAGTCAAATCTTTCCCCCACCATTTGATATTTTTATGTACCGATGAACGTTACTTTATATACTACTGATAAATCATGCCAGTAGCACAACCTTATCTCAAATGTTTGTATACTATGTGTTCTGTTCAAAGGAGATAGTATTAACTGTAGTTTTCGTAGTTAAAAACACTATGGAGTGTCCAAAACAGATTTGTAAATCTCACTCAACAACTATGTGATAATGCCAAATGCCAAGTGATCCAAAACGGAAAATTCAGGAAAGTTTACCTTGGAAGTGAAGACAGGAATCAGTAACACAAGGCTGTGACGATATTCCTAACAATTGTGGACTACTTCGTGTGACAGACTGCGTGGAGTAAAAAACGCGCATAATTGGGACAGACAAGAAGCCTCTAGGAGATTTGTACTTCGCGGTTGATTGATGTCTAATGTGCCACACAAACTCGAAGATATCTAGGCGAAAACCAACAGTTTGGCGGAAGCGGCATGTGGCAAAGACAAGACTCCAAGTCAACTTAGAGGAGATAGTGGAGATAAAGATACCTGACGACCAACACCAATAGGTACGAGTCATCAGAAACGACAGAAATACATAGGGAGTCAACTTTTTCACTTATGTTACCTAAGCAGCTTCATTTCAACTACCGGCAGCTGACAGCCAGGCAAACAAATCAACTGGTTGCGGGCTTTTATCAACTGTCTTCACTTCATGATGAGGATCCAATGACCAGTCAGAAAGAATTAGCACCAAGGAACCCTAATGAGAAACCAGCCAACAAAGTATTGCCAAACAGATGTGCAGAAGAAAATGGGAATGGATCGAACGCACACTGAGGAGACCACTGAGTAAAATCGCGAACTAGACCGTTATTCGAGTGAAACCTGAATAGAAAATGACAGGTTAGATGTATTATTGGTTTTGTGCAAGAGATCGTATGAGAAGGAGATGACAGCCCATGAACTCTTTGGGTCAGATAAATAGAAGTGCACAGAAAGGGGACGAAATGGAGATGAACTGCCGAAGCCAAATTTTCTAATAGAAACCCAGGGGAATAATAATAATCTAACACAACCAACAAGATCGGATTTTCAGGGACTTAGGGTAAAGATCTGTCACCAAAAGAATTTCTAACAGGTGACTTCAGACTTTCCTTTCTTTCACTGCCTTGATTCTGAAGATGCGATAACTGGCTGTTCGGATAAAAAGGAAAAGCAAACAACAAGCGATCAGCCAACACAACCAGTCGATATCACTCAGCCCATTTATACGTGGGTATAATAATAATGAACATAGTGGACAACTCAACTGAAATGCTGCTAAATACGTCTTTTCGTCCTTAGTATCTTCCGCTTGATTGAGCCAAGTAAATATCAAAAAACAGATACTAGCCTGTAACTGTTAGGATACGGACTTTTGTTAGGGAAAAACACATCATTTTCAATTCGCTTTTGATTTCCCGGTTGATTAAATAGCTTTCAATTTTTGACCCCTATTGACATATTAGCTCCAAAAACGAACACTTCAACTATGTGTGATTATTTAACTTGAAGTAAATTGGTGGTTGATGACTAGTACTGGAATCCAGGATACGCGTTTCACCCTGTACATACCTGTATTCCCCAGTGAGTGAAGGTGGCTTTCTCACTGAGGCTCGAACCCAGTAACCACCGTGTGTGCCAAAGCGTTATCCACTAGGAGAACCGCCTTTTGTGCAACGGGCAGTTGTTTAGTGGAAATGTACATAGAATGGGCAGCTAATTTATTTTCTGTAGTAGAGTTCTCTACAACAACGCACGTGCTCTGGGGTTTGATCCCCAGCTGATGCATTCCTAAACCTCACTAAGTTTATTGTCAAACCAGTAAAGAGGGAAGGTTGAGCGTGAGGTTAACAACCCAATTCCTTGAAAATACAACCGCCTGTACCGAAACTTCAAAGGTCTAACTTTGTTAACCGTGAACTTTCTTTGCTCAAAGCCATTCGAGAACACGTGATCCAGTTCGTGCCGAATTGCTGCGATTTCTTCCCTGGAAACTTCTTAAGACAGTGGTGGTTTTCCTCATTCATAAATTTAAACCAAACATTTGTGTGTGGAAAGAATAAGTAATTTCTCTATTTTTACCTTGGCTGTCGAGGCATGAACATTTATTTTCCATTTTGTCTTATATATATATATATATATATATATATATATATATATATATATATATATATTATATATATATATATATGATTGTACTGCTTGATAATGAATTCGTTGAATGAGTCCCTTTGTTGAACACTAGATTCCTGATGTCTAACGTCACACGAAGTAGAGGATCTACGCCAGGAGGAAACGTTGAAAGCAGGATGTCAAATGAACATAGAGAAGACGCAGGTGATAAAGATGCCTAATCAACAACATGAAGCATCAATCCTCGTCAACAGGAGAAGTCTAAAGGAAGTTACTTCTTTCACTTATCAACTATAGGTGGCTACAGGGATGATAATATCAAAGACTGCATGGGGGAGAGTAAGACTGGTCTTGGTTACTCTCTTAAATCGGCGTGAACATCCTTGCATATGAAACCTATCACAAGAAACAAAATCGGAATTTCTGACACTAATTCCAAGTCAGGAGAATTTCTAACAAGCTGTTTCGCTGCCTCTATCCGGAAGATCAGATAAGTGGTTGGACAGTAATGATAATCAGGCAGCAATAAACTCTGTTAGTTAGTGAACAAATTAACCATCAAAGATGCAGACGGCAAAAATAGAGACGAAGGGGGACATACGCTCTGAAGTGACCCTCAAGCCACTCTTAAATCAGGTGTGGGTGATCAGCTGATTGGGGTTTCAACAAAGATGACGAGGGGAAATCATGTGACAAGAAGGAAAGGTAATGAATGTAACAGGGCAATTTTCAGTGACGTACATCCACTGAAGAGACTAAGGGGATAAATAATAACATTAATGATAGCAATAATAACTAATCATTACTCACTTGATAGGTATTATTTGCTGTATATGATATTTCTGTTCGAACAGCCCCAGGGTGTACAGTCATTGGGATAATCCGTAGATTGTTTAACTGATTCGCCAACTCTCTTATGTATAATATAATAGCCAATTTGGATTGATTATACGCCTTGAATGGACCATATTGATCACCTTTCAAGTTTAACCTATCCAAATCAATTTCACCTTGTTGATATAAATTTGAAGCGACCACAATGATACGTGACGGTGAAGCTGGCGCGCATGGTAATGAGCAAGATGCATTGGCTAACAATGGGAGTAGTAGATCAATTAATAACGCTGGCCCGAAATGATTGACACCCATTTGCAATTCTAAGCCATCATGTGTCTCCATATAACTTGTCGCCATCATACCAGCATTATGAATTAGCAAATCTAATCGGGTATAGGTACTATGGATTTTTCTGGCAAATTCACGTATAGATGATAGACAGGCTAAATCGAGATGTTCGACAATTAACTGAAGGGAAGAAAATATCAATATATTTATTGAATCATTGTAAACTACTGAATCATTGTTTTAAGTAGTTTAAACTGCAAATGTAAATTTAAGAATCAACTAGTCGCAACAAGGGTTTTCTGATGATCCAATTATTTTCAAGTGTTGGTTTACGGTAATTTTATTGATTTTAATTTTGATAACGAACTGATACTAGTCAGAGCACTGCTGCAAAATAAGGGAGTAATGGACAGATGTTTCATTCTTGTCTAGGGACTGATTCTTTAACAGAACTCGGTTATCACTCCAGCCACAGGCGATCGAGGCCAGAATTTACAGGTGACCAGACCATTCACCTACTATGACTGAATTCAATATCGAGTCCATGAACTCCAAATTATCGCATCTCGTGAGTTTTGAGATCGGAGATTATTTTGCACCACTTGAAACTAATCAAATCTCTACAAACTTACAGTTGAAATCATATTAACGCATACTATCACTGATTTATCACCACCCTAACAACAAAACTGTTCATTTTTATGAGAAACTTCGTTCATGTGTATATTATATATATATATATATAACACTTTTGTTTCAGTCTGATTGTCTGCTATGTCTTTGGAGATAAGGAATGATAATTTCTATGTCATAACAAAAGTCACTGAACAAAAGACTTACGCAGAATGAAAGAAAAAGTTTGAGAAGGCATCTGATAAGCCCATGAAAGAGCAGAATTCAGAGGCCATATGCAATGGAACATATACTTCCACATGGAATAAATTTATTCGATATAACACACAGTCGGCGGTGCAGTATTATTAAATGGATGACGATGTCTCGAGGATAATTTACTGTTGTATTCATGATACAACTTGATAACTCTCTTTCTGTAGGCTGGAATTAGGCTTGCATCTCATTCACACATAAACTTTATTGCCTTAAAGGATCCTTTGAGTCCCGAGTGGAACATCAGGCCTGAGGCTAGACGCTTTGAGGTTTCAGTAAAAGTGGTGTTTTCATTTATTACGGGGTGGGGTCGCTAGCCTAACTAACAATCCTTCCCTGTGGGCTACGTGATGTTTAAGCGTTTGTAGGCTGAGAATCGCAGCGCATACCACATGAGTGGTTGGCAAGCAATTAACTGTCAAACAGCCGATTCAAAAGTGGAGTACAACCCAGATGAAAAAAAAAGCTAAATATAGCTTACTAAATATCATGTAATGACTGTGAGGTTAAATAAATAGGATCAGTTAAGTTACCAGAACAAAAGAATGAGAAAAGGTGAATTATTGGAAAGCATTCATTTGTATGTAATCACACAATTAAGGCAGGAGAGAGGATAGGATAAGAGTATCAAAAAGTGGTAGTAATAGTTAGTCTGAACACTGATAGGGAGACAGGGTAGTCACCAATCAATAAGCCAAATACGAGTGCAATCTTAATGATGCAACACCTCAAACGTAAATATGAAAAATAACATTTGAAAACAACAGGGATTAAGACTACATATAGAAGGTTTTCAAGCTGTGTGAAGAATATACACTGCGATGATGTAATTATGGACAGAAGGAATAACGTATCCTCGAAACATCATGACCCAGTTATTAATACTGTATCGATTACACTGCATGCTGTATCAAATAAACTCATATAATATGAGACCGTATATTCTATCACACAAAAACACACACAATGTTACATTTATCATACCTATGATTTTCCTTTCCGAAGAGTAATCAAGAGACTCTCAAGACGATTACACACAGAAGTATAATTTACAAGTCATCATCAAGTATATATATATATATACTTAAGTAGTGAATGTTATTGAAAACAACATTAATATACCCCTTTTCATTATGTAATATCGAGTTTTTAAGAGGATAATCAGAATTACAGTTCTAAAAAGGATGTGTGAGTGTAAGTGAGCGATAATATGCAAAAATAAAATACCTACAAACTATCAGACTTGAAAATTAATCTGATGCTGTCCAGTGATTGGCTGACTCCGCGAAGAAGTTGCCTAAGGTGTTCCAGTGAGAAGTCGTGGCAAATCGAGTCCATCCGGTCAGGAGTAAGAAAAAAACCCCTCCGCCAGTGACATTTACTGGTGCCAGTTGCACTAAAATCACGAGCTGACAGAAGTTGGAATTCATGGGTTGGCCACTTTACTGGATCCCAGTGGCTGAATGGTTTACCAGCTCGACTTGTAGCATGAAGGCAGATGGTTCGAACAAGTGTTGGTGCGTACTGATGAGGAGTCCCAGATTACACTGATGAAACAGCTGTCCAGCACTCCCTGGTTTTCATTGATTCTTGTACCTGATATCAATCCGTGATCAGACTTGAAACAAATCAAATCCATGCAAGCTAATTCACGCAGAACAAAACTATCTGACATTAAATTGAGTATTAGATAGGATTAGGGGAGAAAACTGCATCTGACAATTAAATATATTTTAAAACAATGATAGCCAGGGTGGGAATGGAAGGCAAACGACAGAAATTCTTTTGAACATACGCCTGTTATGCTTTTTCCTCAAGTGGATTTCAGAAGCTTCCGATAGCTGTATGTAAAAGACGAACTAGTAAGATGAAAGGGGGGGATATTCAGCGTATGGTACATAACTTTAGACACTTTTTTAAGTAACATTAACTTTAATTTCAGTGTCTGAGAGATGAAATAAAATAGAACTGTGAATAGACTATTCTGTTCTAACAAGTGACTCTTTATGGAGAACTCAAGATAAGTAGACAATTACTTAATAAAAATGGTTATCCAGCAAAGATTATTCACGAGAATATGAATTTAAAGCAAAAGCAAGCTAATGTACCAACTGTTCCGTAAAAGACCTCGTTCTTAAAATTCCAATTCTGTAGTGATAACGCAGCACCTCTAAAGAATGCAGTATGTAAAGGGCATTCAGCATAGCAGAAATACACTACTACCTTTTCATCACAACCTCATCCAATTATTTTATCGTGAGTTAAGGATAAACTAATTAATTTCTCCTCCTAGCATGTTTATGAGTCTACCAAAGTTAGACTGCTCCTCTAAAGCTAGTTAATTACGTTGGAGGTACACAAATAGTCATATTCATCGTCGGATTTCTGAAGATCGTCATAATCCGGCATAGTGGATAGGCAAGGGACAGACCAGGTCTGTTCACAGCGCTGTGTTTTAGCATCCATCTTTTGTGCATGCTGAACACATAAATACGATGTAAGTTAACAAGACGGGTATACAAAGTTATTTATCTATAGAATTCCGTGGGTAGGTGGCACAGCGATTAGGACGCTCGCCGACCATGAACATGGTCCGGGGTTCGATCCCTGGCCACCGACGCACTCCTTTACCTCGCTGAGCCAGAAATAATATTGATAAAGAGGAAAGGTTGGGCATGGAGCTAGCAACCCCATCCTGAAAAATTAAACACCGCTACAGAAACTTCAAGCCACTAGCTTGAGACCTTGTGTTCCACTGGGAACGTGAAGGAAAAAAATTCCGAAGATAGTTCTCAATTTTGCCTTACAAGCTGTTTGTCTTTCACACAAAGAGCTGAAACCGTAACAATCCACTTAAAGAATTCAAATTTATGTGTATGTTTTCAGAAGCAGATGGTTTATATGCCTTGCTTGGCTCAGCCATGATTATTTTAGCTACAGTTAATTATAGAACAAGTAATCCCAATTTCATCTGATATTCACTTCGGTATCAGATATTTTAATGCATATTTTCACACTTATACATGATTCATTGGACTGTAATTTTACTGATCGTCTTAACATTTCGATATTATATAGTGAAAAAGCTACATCAATGTTGTTGTCAATAACGATTATTCTTTAAACATAATTATGTGTATAAAAATGTTTTTTTTAAAAAGAAAACTCAGGTTACCTGTGAGTATTTAACCGCCTGCAGAAATGGTTCAACAGCTGCTCCAGCTGGTGATTTTCGCCAGGCCTCTTGACTCCTTTCACCATAACGATCAATCAGTGATTCCCTGCCATAACATGCTCTTTCTAAATCCCTACAAGCCATTATCACCGTGCATCCACGACGCGCCAACTCTCCAGTCAATTCAAGACCACTGCCAATATTAGCCCCAGTGACAATTGCCAATTTGCCATCTAAACGACCTGGAAGTTTACATAACCGATTGGTAACTTTCGACATTTGCATTATTCTGACTAATTTCTCCTCGTCTCTCCTCTTTCCTCAAACAACCATTAAATAAGTTTCAAAATGAGTTTGTGTGTAGGCTGATCTACACCACTTTTATTTTTGCTCATCAACCACCAATCAGAGTGAAAACAATCTGACCAACCACATATCGATCGATAAATCAATATGTGATTGTATGAATGACAATAATTTCCTCGGTTAATATCGATGATATCATGCTTGGAATGTGTGTGTGTATGCTCACAAGCAGATATGTAGGTGGACCGATACACAGTCACACAGGTACAGACACGCACATATGCTTTTGTGTAAGTGTATGTTATTTGATCAGGGAAATACAGATCATATTATTATTGTTAATATTGCTTAGAAGAGAACAGATCAGAGTATTAATAGTAATACACACCTGGTAATGAATTTTTTTCATTTTCTTACTGTCACCATTACAAATTACAAGTATAGATTATTATTGTTTTGTGGGATTTTAGATTCGCGGAAAATATCTATCAGGACACTAGACAGAAAAGAACAAGGATTTCAACAAAGATATCCTTTTTTCTGAGATTTTATCCTCAAAAGCAGCTGTATAGTAATATATATATATATATATATATATAATGTTCCCTAACCCCCATTTTTAAAGGACGTGTGCACAGAACGTCCAATTTGCAGTCTCTCGTCATCAAACCAACCAAGTCCAGTTAGAAAGAGAGTTGTATGTGTGTGTGGGAGAGCTATTGATGGAAATCAGGAAAAATTGATGGAATCAACACATGGAGATTTCTTCAAATCTACGGCTGCCACCACCACGAAGTTCATAATCTGTATATCATTTTCCAGCCCATAAGTGGCGTCTACTAGATAGGTGGATGTCCCGAAGTTGTCCTGACAAGTCTTGGCCAGTGTAATTCACCATGCTAGGCTTAAGTGGATGCTTGTAAGGTACTGGTTAGCTACACTTTAACAATCATAATAAATGTAATCACCTTAACTAACCAGTTAAACAGAACACTAATTGACCCGTGAGTAATGATAAAAAAAGGCAATCCAAAAAGAATAAGTTACTCGAGAATCTGTTCTCATGAGCATTATATATAAATGGAATGGAAAGTTAAGATCATCTGAGAAAAAAACTTTAGAAAGATACCTAGTATGGGTTAACTGCGACACAATGAAGGAGTGCGAAATGCTGTCTAAAACTGGCTGAACGTGTACAAGTTAAAACAAACTTGAAGTATCCAAAGCCGGTATCCACAGCCTGGTTAGACGTTTTTCCAGTCATTATTAGGGTTATTTTGGTGCCCTAAATGTGCACTACATACTCATCAACAGGACTGGTTGATATCACGAATTGAGGAAACTTAGAATTCAAGGGTTGTTGAATTCTACCTCAGTACCTGAATGGTTAGTGAGCTGGCTTCATAACTTCAATCGAGGTCATAGTTTAATCCCTCCTACTACCAAAGAGTACCAGACAAGAATAAAGTAACTTTCCAGTTTCTAATGATTCTTGCTAATCGATGCTTGTTTCCTGACACTTTAATATGAGCCACAACAATGTGTGTTTTTGCGCAAATCATGACAGGTGAAGAAGGATTCAAAACCTTGAACAAGTGTTTGAGATCAAGTTGCCTGGGTCAATCTAAGTCACGACTTCACAATCAGACTATGACAGTATTTAAATCTGAGTTGCTTTTTGATAGTCCGCCTGATAAATTAGTCTAATCGATAAAGTTAGGAATGATGGAAGAACCATCTAAAAATTCTCTTTTCTGACTCGATCTTAATGTTTAAGTGTCAATGATATGTTCAATTTCATATTTTCCGTGTTGCGGTTGTTTCCTTTGAACTGCATAGTTTGATTTTGAAACTATCATTGTCATCCTAGCAAGCATTTTCAGCGTCATACTCTTTACAGGGAAAATACAATGCGATTTCGGTAAGTGATTTTGCATGACTGGAATTACTATCTTCCCAGGTGAGCTTGATTAGGGTTAGTGGGTGGATAAGAAGCACTGATTAAATGATTTCCCTTGATGTTAACAAACTGAGATCTGCCAATAGGATAACGTATGCAACTGTGGCTACAGAGGTGTAGAAGTATTCTGATTGATAGATTTAATTTTCAAAAGAATGGTTACTGAACAAAGAATATTCTTTTCGATGACTTCATCATCAGGTTCTGCATTATAGTGAATGAATTAGTGTTGTTAACAACATTAATCTTTATTAATGTCAATGGATTACAGTTCGACAGGATCAAAATAACAATACACTGAATAGCAGAAAAATTAGGAAAGATAATAATAAAAATTCATGAATGCATAGTCTCTACTGAAGGCCAGAGCATTAGTAATGACTGGACTTGCTTCCTCTGCACACAGAGCATTGGTTGTTTTAGGCGAATCGCGATAGCTTCTGTTGTTTGAAGAAAGCTGTATCTGGATGTTTTTAGCAGTTTACTTGGTACCCAGTAGATGATGGAAAAAGATTCTTCAATGTTGGTTTTGTGGCCGGTTTAGGTGGGGTGATCGAATACTGAAATGTTGATGGATTTTACTACACCTCTATTCAGCCACACTAGTAGATGTTTCCGAGCAGAAAATTTCAAGTTCCTAGAGCAACAACCAATATAACTCGCTCCACATGCGCAGATGAATCGGTAGATACAATCAGAAGTGGTTAGCCTATGTACTGCACCTTTCATTTGAGGAATCACCGCCGATTGTTTAGAGAATTAGACTTGCAGTTTGCTGGGATTAAAAGTTCTTTGAACTGGCCTTCTTTTTTTTCTTTCTTTTTCCTTCACGTTCCCCAGTGGAACATAGGGCTTCAATCTAGTGGCTTGAAGTTTCAGTAGTAGTGGTGTTTATTTTACAGGATGGGGTTGCTAGCTCCATGTCCAACCTTTCCTCTTTATCAGTATTATTTCTGGCTCAGTGAGGTAAAGGAGTGAGTCGGTGGCCAGGGATCGAACCCCGGACCATGTGCATGGTCGGTGAACGACCCAAACGCTATGCCACCGACGCACCTCTTTGTAATTATTCCGCTAAGTATATTATCCTTGAATTCCAGTCATGTGTATAAAGGCTTCTTGTTTACGGATAGTGAATAGTCCTTTTCAACTTTCTTAGTCATATGTTTCCTGACGAATTTGTCTAGATAGCTATTTTCAATCAGGATATCGGATACAATGCTTACTTCATCTTCAGTTAATGTTAAGTTTGCTGACCTCAGGGTCAATCAACTAACCATAATTTGTATCTACTGCCCAGAGCTTTGATCAGATAAGCAGAAATAACTACAAAATGGATCAGAATGAAAACAGATGTTTTTTTAGCTCGTCAGTACCTGTTTATTATGCTATTTCTATTTGATACGTAAGTGTATCTCTATGATTTATTACCTTCATGAAAATTTCACCCAGATTCTTTTTTTTTATCACACACACACAGAGTTTATTTACCTTTAGGGTAAAAAGATTCGGAATTTTGATAAGCTACAGAAATCTAGAAGAGTTTTGACAGCATCTAAGTGGGAAATCTGAGAAGTTCCTCAGATGAGAAAGGTTAGTTCCTTCTACTGATTCCCACTATTAACTATTTCAACGAAATTTGACAAGAATGAATGAGAAAACTGATCTCCTGAAAAAGGAAATCGTTAAAAGATTTTTTAAAATTCCCCTAAAAGACTGACGCTTGTTCTGATTTGACTGATGCTTGTTCATTGGTTGAATAAAAACGAGCATCAATACTAGCGTGAATTAAAGAACTAATCACCACGACAAAAATACTTTCACTAGATAAACAATTTTATCGCATTCAGGAGGGATTAAAATAATTTCAGACTTCACTTACACTCACGTTCGCTCTGTAGCGTGATGTTGTCTGGGTGGAGGACAGTGAAAGGCGGTTCACAATTATACCAACACCCAACTGCTCTGACAAACAACGCAATCAAAACATCAAAACATACACTCAAACAAAACTAATGGTACAATTCTTCCCTGAAAAGAAAACGTGCTGTGCATTTTTATGTCTGTGAATACTGTTGATAAATTTGATTGAAATAAAACCACTAGCTAGCCAGTGCAGTGTTCGACTCCCGGTTGACGCACTACTTAACCTTACCTATTTTGCTAGGCGATAGCTACTAAGCCAGGAAAGACATGGAAGGTTGGACATGAGGCCAACGAACCCCTGAAACTTGAAAAATTTTGAAGCCCGATGTTCTACTTGGAATGCATGGAATATAGGAAAAACAATATTGTTTGAAGTAGGTTATAAATCATTTGGCTGAAGTTTTGTCATATAGCAGGATAAGCTATATATGTCAAGCTTTTCCGATGGTGATCACATGGCTGACATTTGTAAGCAGAGTAGGACTTGAACATGTGACTCTAATTGAAATTCCAGTGTTACAGCCACTTTGGGCCATATTTCCACACGCTTAAGGTTACTTCGTAAGTATGGCTACACACAATTTCATGGCTATTCACGTTCTGAGAGGAATTCTCAGAAGCGCCCGTGGCGTTGTTTTAACGTCCCAACCTCTGCTCCTTTTCAGCCTTACTACCTAAAGCATAACCTCACCTAGTTAACTAGCTCGCTAGTTTTCTAGCCGATCCCGAGCCCCGTTAAAATGTGAGGTTTGGGCGTGGGGATAGCGAACCCACACCACTAAATCTTTCAAACCGCTATTGGAATTTCAACACACAGCAAATATATTAAAAATACCAAACCTCCAAGTAACAACAATCTTATTCTTCTCTCGAATCGGAGAGGCGAAATGACACTGCGGAATGTCTGGTGAAAGCCTTTGGGAGGCAAGTAAGCCAGTCGGTGTGTCTTCTCTCGATGAAAGTCAGAGTAAGAATGGGTACGTGGAATGTCCGTACAATGTACGAGACTGGGAAGGCTGTTCAGGTAGCCAAAGAGGTGCGAAGATATGGCTTAGAAGTACTGGGTATCTGTGATAGCAGATGGAATGGTTGTAGATTGACATTATCAACTGGAGAGTCTATAATTTACTCCGGTCACCCAGACGACAACCACGAA